CCAGCTACAAGTATCAAAGGTGAAATCAGAGACACCAAGTGCGTGGGGTGGTGGGGTGCGTACGGTTGGAAGTGAGGGCAATTGGGGGATAGAGAGGTTGGGTTTGGATTTGATGGGAGAGAAAGTTGTGGCGGTGGTGGTGATGGTTGTGGGGGTGGAGGATGGAGTGGCAGGTGATCAGAGAGACGGAGGATGATGGCGGAGCTCAGAGGAGGGGCAGGACAAGTGTCTTCTGTCGTTGNGATCCCAACACTATCAATCTAATCTAATGGTTATAATGTATTAAGTCCTCCCAATAGTATTAGTGTTATGGAAACATACATCAACTTTCCCTGGTCACTCAGTGAGAGGACTATCCAGCTTGTGAACTGGGTGTTTGAGCTCACAGTTGACAATTTCTAATATTTCATCAACAGAGTTGTATATTTGATTCTTGGTGTGTGTATTATTTAATAATATTCATAGCTTTAGGTCCACAACAACAGTTATTTTCTGAGGTGTCTGTTTAGATGGTCCCATAAGGCATAAACAATTATCCAAAAAACGATGGTCCCATAAGCAAAGAACTTTCATAGAACAGAAATTGTTTNGACAAGAGGGAGAAAACTAGGGTCGTTTAGAAACTGCAACAATATTTTAGACATAATCGTAAAAATATATATAAAACAAAATATTTCGAAATCTAAGTATACAGTTGAGATACAAAGTCGTAAATACTTATTTTATAAAATTTTCTTTTCTAAAAACTTTAACAAGATATTTATTAAACGCTGAAATTTATGANGTCCCATAAGGCATAAACAATTATCCAAAAAACGATGGTCCCATAAGCAAAGAACTTTCATAGAACAGAAATGGTTTGTTTGTCAATTTTACAAGTTCTTCACCAGTCCACTTAAGAGAATCAAACAATGTACCTGAAAACTAATTTTTATGCAAGGAAAAACTAAAAATGGATTGAAAACTGTTATTCCAAGTCACCCACCGGTATCTTATGCTAATCAGACCAGTTTTAGATTTTTATCTCGACCATATCCATCCCTGCCCTGACACACAATGTACNTTAGAAAATGATTTTATTTTCAAATTATATTTATATATTAAATATATACTACTAGTATTTTTATTGGAGAATTTTAATATTTCGTTTATTTTAAAATATATCACTTGTTTAAATTTTAAAATTTGTTACTGTCCGAACTCTATAATAATATAACAAAAACAATGTATCAAATANACCAGTTTTAGATTTTTATCTCGACCATGTCCATCCCTGCCCTGACACACAATGTACAGAATTACTAATCAAGACTCTGAATGGAATGATCATCTGACAGGAGCCTAAATAAAAAAATAACCCTACATTGTTTATATCGGAACTATTCCCAAAGTAGGGAATTTAAAGTCCATTAGAGTCAACCTTGAAGGCANTTATACGAAAATATATGTTTGATAAAATGTAATAGTATATAATTTGTGTAAATGACTTATTACACTGTTATTGTTATACTGTTCGAATATTAATATAATTTAAAAATAAAACCACTTTTCAAAAAAAAAAATATATAAATCAAGGTGCATTAAATATAATTTGAAAAATAAAACTACTTCCAAATAAAATTTGCATGAATCAAGGGAGGATATACAAATATAGAATATTAAAATTCTCCTATAAAACTATGAGATGTTTAATACACCACTTTTCCAAAAAAAATACACATTGATCAATAGAGGACAAAAATGTCACAAAAAAATCAGTAAAATTCAAATAATGTACTTAGATACAAATTGATGATGCACAAAAATGGTTTTGCACACCACCTGTCAAGTATAGATAATAAATGCAATGAAATCAACGAAAAAATCAGAGAAGACACAATTTATAGTGGTTCGGTCAATTCGACCTACGTCCACTCTTCAATGGCTTCAGTTGCCGGGTATTTTATTGATTCAAAGGTATGGAGAATGGAGATACAAGCTTTGAGAGGGGGAATGGAGGATCAGAGAAAATAATAATCTCCGGTGGTCGGTTCGTCTTCTGTAAGTCTCTGATGGAGCATGTCCCCTTCCTCTCCCAGATTAGAGCCATTTTATAGTAGATAAGAGATCATTCTTGTGGAGATCATGACATATCCTCAAGGCTTCTTTATCGCAGCTTAGAGATTATCTTTGGTGGAGATCACGACTTATCCTCAACGGAAGGAAGAGGTTGGGGAACTCTTGAAAGAAACGTGGTCAAAGATTGGACCGTTTCCTTCCTTCGGTGGTGCGGATAAGCTTCCCGTGCTCTCTTCTTGGTGACGTGCTAAGCAAGAAGTCTAACTGGCCTTGGGCTCCTTAAGGCGGTGCAGATAAACTTCCCGTGCTCTCCTCTTGGTGACGTGCTAAGCAAGAAGTCTAGCCGGCCTTGGGCTGTCTTGGACTTGGTGGATTCACAATGAGGTTGGGCTCCTCAACCGGGGTTGGGCTTTAATACATAAATTGGACTACTTGGGCTTAACCCATCACAAATAAGTATAAAAAATAAAGACTTAATTATCCAACATTTTTTTATATGTACTTTTTTACAATTAAGTCTAATTTAATATATCCCCTTCTAAGAAGAAACATAACGGATGGCTTGTCTGACAGAAAGGAAGGAAAAAAAAAAAAGAGAAACGATGCTGAAGAGATGGCTTCTCTAACTATGAGGTGACTAATAGGAGTAAATATTGAATGCAAAGGTGATCATTTGATGATATGGTATTACCAATCAATAATAAAACTTCAAATGAGAAAAGTGAACCTCACTTGGGTTTACATGGCAGGAGGTGGGAAGTTATTTGTTTACATGACAGTTTTGGTTATTGATTTGTATGGAATTCATGTACTTCTTTGTTTTAGTATTATTAATTGGTAATATCACATCACCTTGTCACATAATATCACCGTTGTAATGAATATGTTCTCGACTGATAGGTCAGATTTTTGAAAAAAATTGTAGGTGAAAAGTGATTAATTTGGAGAAAAATGAAAGGAATATTGGTGATCGTCGAATGAATTAATTTGAGACTGTAAAATAGACTTGTAAAATAGACTTGTTTCATTAGAACTATTGGATTAGAACCAATTCTCAATATTTGATGGGACCCATAATCAATTCAAATATCCTAGTGAATTAGGTCAATAAATTAGGTCTGTGAATTAAGTCTCAATAGTATTACTCTATGTTAAAAGTTTTCTATGTATGTAACTAATTTTCAAAATTTAAAGACTTTTCTCCGCAAATAAGTGAATTTTTAAGACAGAATCACAAAAAGTCTTTTAATTAGTCCTTACTGATTTTTCCTCAGGTTTGAAATTTCCACCGGGAGTTCATTCACTACTATAAATAGAGTTAGCTCCAAACACATAAGGTGTCCCACTGCAAATTAAAAAATTCAATATTTAGTACTAAAATTTTAGCATTCAATTTTTAATTTTATCAAACACCACCTTAAAACTTGCTCTGACCAAGACTCCACCTTTTTCTACATCCATGGAACGTATGAATTTCTTAGAATGTAAATAAACCAAAAGAGGGAATGAAGAAATAGAAATAGGAATTATAGTACCAAGAGAAGAAAAAAGAAGGGTAAATGAACCCATGTGGGTCAAACAATTACATATTTGAGCAATTTTTTAAGAGTATTTCTATTTAAATTTAAAAATTTGACTTAATTTATTAATTTAATGATGTGGTTTCATTATAATCATTGAATCAATACAAAGGTCTAATGTTTAATGGGCTCACAATCAATTTAAAAACCATAATAAATTAAATCAGCAAATTAAGTAAATAAATTAAGAAAAATTTGGAAGCCGATACAAAATTTTGGACTTAATTGAGTTAAATTACATTAAGGAAACTTATTTGGGCCTAAATACAATTTAAAAAAAAAAAAAGACTAAAAGACCATTTATTACTCCATTACTCTCTCTCTCTCTCTCTCTCCATTATTCTCTTATTCTCTCTTCCCTATTTTCTCTCTATCTATATATCTCTCTCACATTAATAATTATTTTTTTTTCAAATATATAAAAATTTGATTTAATTTTTTAATTTCTCTCCCCTATTTTCTCTCTCTCTCTCTTACTCTCTCTCCTCCTATTTTCACTCACCATTACTCTTTCTCTCCTTATTCACTCTCTCAATCTCTTTCTCTTATATCAACTTTATAACAACACAATTATACCAATCAATTACACTAATTAATTACATTACTCTATAATACATCAAACAGTTATTCATGTGTTCTAATAAACCAAACAGTTACATTAAACAATTACACAAAATTACAATACCAACACAATTTGTTAAACCAAATAGTTATATCATTTAATATCACGATATGACTACATCAATTATATACACCAAATTTGATTTATCATTACACAAAAGACTTTACAATTATACCAAATTTGGAGTATATAATTGGTATAACTACATCATGATATTAAATAGTGCAATTGTTTGGTGTAACTGTTTCGTTTATTAGAATATATAAATAATTGTTTGGTGTATTATGAGACAATTGTAACTGGTTTATGTAACTGATTAGTGTAATTGTGTTATCGTAACTTGTAACGTCAATATAAATAGAGAGAGAGAAAAAAAAATAGAGGAGAGAGATATTAAAAAATTAAATCAAATCTTTGCATATTTGAAAATAAAATAAATTATAGAGATAGATAGAGAAAATAAGAGAGAGAAAGGAAGAGTAACAGAGAGAGATGGAGAGAAAATAGGAGAAAGAAAGAGACGGAGAGAATAAAAATTATATATAATTTAAGGAAGCGTAACTAAGTAAAAAAATTCAAATGTCATTTGAATTTTGTATCTAATAACAAGATGTTTTATATATATATATATATATATAGAGAGAGAGAGAGAGAGAGAGAGAGAAGCAGCTATTACTGGGCAAGAAACTTCTAACTCTGGATATGGCCATCAATGTGGAACAATCATGAATCAACCACGTATTAATTAGTATGCAATTTTTGGATGATGGTACAAGACTACTCTTTCTTTTATCTTCCCCTTAGTTTATATTGTGGTTAATACGAAACATTACAATAATATAGTTGAAAACCTCATAGTATTTAACAGTATGCATGATACAATTCTAAACATTGTTCTTATTGTATCTAGGTTTATTTATGGACTACATCTCATGCAATATGTTAAAAGTTTTCTATGTATGTAATTAATATTCAAGATCCAAAGACTTTCCTCTGCAGATAAGTGAGTTTTAAATAGAGCACTTCAAAAAGCCTATCTTTTACTCCTTCAAGAAAATGGAAATAAGCGCCTCTCCATCGCTGCTTTATTATCAAAGTGCCACAAACTCCCCAAAATCCTAGGAAGAATCCCGATCCTATGCAAATTGAGAACAATATCTTTTCAAGTGCATCATCTGTTTCTCCTATACTCTCCCCAGCTGGAGCTTGAGGCGGGTCACTGCTAATGCACGCGATAGTTAGCGGAAACCCACAAAGTGCAACATTACCCACATAAATTGATGATGGATCTTCGAGGACTAGGAGCTGATTGCCTGTTGGAATTTTACCAGACAAATTGTTATATGACAGGTTCAAGTGATTCAGAAAAGTCATAGAAGCCATGGTTGGTGGAATAGACCCTGAAAAGTTGTTCATTGAGAGGTCCAGAGTTTCTAACCATTCCAAGCTTCCGATATTTGCAGGTATGTTCCCTGTCATATGATTCATGGACAAATTCAAGGTGCCCAACCTTGTCAGGCTTGTTACTTCTTTAGGCATCTCTCCAGATATATTATTTCTCGAAATATCGAGGCTATTCACAAGGTAAAGTGTAGAGAAATATTGAAGCATTCTTCCCTTGGCCATGACTTGCAATCGCCCCTCATACCTCACAGTTTCAGGTGTAACCTCAGTTTTGAAGCCAGTCAAGTTCCCTATACAGGGAGGAACTAATCCTGTCAGCTTATTCTGTGAAAGGTCCAATATGTGAAGGGCAGAGAGATAACATATACTTGCAGGTATGTTTCCAGCAAAGGAATTGTTCCGAACACGGAGAATTAATAACGATGTCATGCTTTCTCCTATCCAAGCTGGAAGCCTTCCAGATATTTGATTGTCTCCAACATCAAGGCTGATCATCTCAGTGCAGTTTTTCAAGCCAGAAGGGAGTTCCCCTGAAAGATTGTTGCTAGAAAGTATTAAGAATCTGACGGATCTTAGAGAAGCAATTGAACTTGGAATCGTACCAGAAAGGCTATTGTTTGACATATCCACAATGTACAACAATGGCACATTGTTCCAAACATGTGGAATTTCTCCAGAAAGAAGATTATTCGAGATGACCAGAGTTGTCAAACCATTCAGATTACCTATGGACAAGGGAATGCTACCGTTTAGAGAGTTCCAAGAGATATCCAAGTCTGTCAGATTAGGCATTAATTCACCAATGTCAGGAGGAATTGGTCCAGAAAACAAGTTATCCCTTAGATATAGGGTACTCACATTAGATGACCAGAGAGGGAGAGGACCCTCAAAGAGGTTCGAGCTCAGATCGACATTGGAGGAGTCACTGAATTGTAATGGGTTGGGTACAGTGCCCCTTAATTGATTGTATGCAACGTCCAGTTCGTCGAGTTGCAAACCAAACTTCAGGAACCAGTCTGGTATGGTGTCTGAAATCCTTGCATTGTTGAGTACCACAGTGATCAGCTTATTTTGATTTCTGAGCCATGGAGGAAATCTGGGGCCCAATTGGCACGATCGAATTCTAATGTATATGAGTTTGAAAGGAGGAATCCAATCAGAATCGATGTTGAAAAACAAGGAAATATTTGGAGATTCTTTATAGAGTGATATCTCCTTTAAGCTCGAGAGATTCAAGAGATGAGCTTCTGTTATGACACCTTCCCATGAATTCTCAGAGATGTCCAACACAACCAAAGATGACAGTTGACCAAGCCTTGGAGGGATGTTTCCACTCATTTGGTTGTTTGAAAGGTACAATTCCTCCAAAGATGATAAGTTCCCTACTGTTACTGGAATGGAACCGCTGAACAAGTTTTGCCGGAGTGCAACAAATCGCAAGTTTATAAGGTGGCCCATTGAATCGGGGAGACTGCCTGTCAATTCGTTGGACCCCAAATCCAACATCTCTAAGCTGTTATTTTTGCATCCAGATAATCCATTGATAAGTTCAGATATTTCACCGGTAATCTTGTTAGTGGAAAGGTCCAGATTCCACAAGTTGCAGAGATTTTGCAATCCTCTCGATAACTGACCTTCGATGCTATTCTCAGATAGATCAAGGTTTTCAAGGGAAGTTAACTTGGAAAATGCATCTGGAAGTCCACCATGGATATTGTTGGAATTGAGATTAAGATATGCAAGGCTAGTGANCAAGTGCATCATCTGTTTCTCCTATACTCTCCCCAGCTGGAGCTTGAGGCGGGTCATTGCTAACGCACGCGATAGTTAGCGGAAACCCACAAAGTGCAACATTACCCTCATAAATTGATGGATCATCGAGGACTAGGAACTGATTGCCTGTTGGAATTTTACCAGACAAATTGTTATATGACAGGTTCAAGTGATTCAGAAAAGTCATAGAAGCCATGGTTGGTGGAATAGACCCTGAAAAGTTGTTCATTGAGAGGTCCAGAGTTTCTAACCATTCCAAGCTTCCGATATTTGCAGGTATGTTCCCTGTCATATGATTCATGGACAAATTCAAGGTGCCCAACCTTGTCAGGCTTGTTACTTCTTTAGGCATCTCTCCAGATAAATTATTTCTCGAAATATCGAGGCTATTCACAAGGTAAAGTGTAGAGAAATATTGAAGCATTCTTCCCTTGGCCATGACTTGCAATCGCCCCTCATACCTCACAGTTTCAGGTGTAACCTCAGTTTTGAAGCCAGTCAAGTTCCCTATACAGGGAGGAACTAATCCTGTCAGCTTATTCTGTGAAAGGTCCAATATGTGAAGGGCAGAGAGATAACATATACTTGCAGGTATGTTTCCAGCAAAGGAATTGTTCCGAACACGGAGAATTAATAACGATGTCATGTTTTCTCCTATCCAAGCTGGAAGCCTTCCAGATATTTGATTGTCTCCAACATCAAGGCTGATCATCTCAGTGCAGTTTTTCAAGCCAGAAGGGAGTTCCCCTGAAAGATTGTTGCTAGAAAGTATTAAGAATCTGACGGATCTTAGAGAAGCAATTGAACTTGGAATCGTACCAGAAAGGCTATTGTTTGACATATCCACAATGTACAACAATGGCACATTGTTCCAAACATGTGGAATTTCTCCAGAAAGAAGATTATTCGAGATGACCAGAGTTGTCAAACCATTCAGATTACCTATGGACAAGGGAATGCTACCGTTTAGAGAGTTCCAAGAGATATCCAAGTCTGTCAGATTAGGCATTAATTCACCAATGTCAGGAGGAATTGGTCCAGAAAACAAGTTATCCCTTAGATATAGGGTACTCACATTAGATGACCAGAGAGGGAGAGGACCCTCAAAGAGGTTCGAGCTCAGATCGACATTGGAGGAGTCACTGAATTGTAATGGGTTGGGTACAGTGCCCCTTAATTGATTGTATGCAACGTCCAGTTCGTCGAGTTGCAAACCAAACTTCAGGAACCAGTCTGGTATGGTGTCTGAAATCCTTGCATTGTTGAGTATCACAGTGATCAGCTTATTTTGATTTCTGAGCCATGGAGGAAATCTGGGGCCCAATTGGCACGATCGAATTCTAATGTATGTGAGTTTAAAAGGAGGAATCCAATCAGAATCGATGTTGAAAAACAAGGAAATATTTGGAGATTCTTTATAGAGTGATATCTCCTTTAAGCTCGAGAGATTCAAGAGATGAGCTTCTGTTATGACACCTTCCCATGAATTCTCAGAGATGTCCAACACAACCAAAGATGACAGTTGACCAAGCCTTGGAGGGATGTTTCCACTCATTTGGTTGTTTGAAAGGTACAATTCCTCCAAAGATGATAAGTTCCCTACCGTTTCTGGAATGGAACCGCTGAACAAGTTTTGCCGGAGTACAACATATCGCAAGTTTATAAGGTGGCCCATTGAATCGGGGAGACTGCCTGTCAATTCGTTGGACCCCAAATCCAACATCTCTAAGCTGTTATTTTTGCATCCAGATAATCCATTGATAACTTCAGATATTTCACCGGTAATCTTGTTAGTGGAAAGGTCCAGATTCCACAAGTTGCAGAGATTTTGCAATCCTCTCGATAACCGACCTTCAATGCCATTCTCAGATAGATCAAGGTTTTCAAGGGAAGTTAACTTGGAAAATGCATCAGGAAGTCCACCATGGATATTGTTGGAATTGAGATTAAGATATGCAAGGCTAGTGAGATTGAACAGCCAGTAAGGTATTGTGGAGTCGAAACCGTTGTTGGAGAGGTCAAGGACCAAAAGGGATGTAAGATTAACAAGTGGAAGAGAGATAGGAAGGTTGGATAGCTGACACTGGGGCAAATGCAACTCCACAAGAGAAGGAAACATATTCATAGTTGAAAGCCAAGAAGATGCAACCTTGCTAAGGTCTACACTTGCCAAATTAAGGTACTTCAAGGACTTAAAATTCGACAACCATTGCAAGTTATTCACCTTCAATCCGTCAACAGAAGACTCGAGGTTATCTTCGAGATCAAGATAACGCAAAGTCGAAAGATTTCCGAGATTTGGAGGGATCGTGCCACCGAAGGATGCACTTGAAAGATTGAGATACCTAAGTTTTGTCAGGGACCCGAGGAACTCCGGAATTCGGATTCCTCCAAAATTATTCATGCTGAGGTCCAAGTAGTTCAAATACTTTAAATTGAGTAAAGAAGGATTGATCTCGCCTCCCAATTCGTGAGTTGTTTGATCAATATCGTAGTTGTTTGGAAATGGGTTACGGAGTTTAAGCTTGATGACATGTCCAGTTTGGTTTTTGCAGCTCACTCCTCTCCATTTACAACAATCATCTCCAAACCAAGAAGAGAGTCGGCCTGAAGGATCTGTGAGGCCTTCTTTGAACTTGAGGAGAGCTTTCTTCTCAATCTCCTTGCAACCCACTTGAAGATCATCATTGCAGGAGCCAAGTTTAAAGGTCTCAAAGAACAAAAAACCCGAAAAGAGAACGAAAAGTAGAAGTTGAACAGAGCCACCTTCTGTGTCCATGCCTCGGAGAGTATATGTTTTTTGTTCTCTTAGCCTGGTTAGTAATATTCGTTTATTATGATCTGCCCTATTTATAAGTGGGCATGAGGGCCGCCCACCCAAGATGAACTTGGCCGTGGAATTGATGCTGACGAAGACTACAAGGACATGGTGTGGCGTTCTTGACATGCCTAATTGTGAACCTAGGGATTTATAGCGGGACTTGAGGTTGACAAGGACCTAAACTCTTTGAAATCTGCCCCCACCACCATTGTTGGGAATATTGCGGGTGGAAGTAGACCTTTCAAACCAGCAGACTATTTTACATGTCGCAATGGTCCTCCCCACCGAACACTGCAACGACTGACTTGTTGGCTACAAGTCATTGATCAGCTAAACTAGTTTACATGCATCCGGGAGATTTGTAAGGATAATACCATTTCTAATTTGTTGAGTTCATTCACGTTGGAATTGCACCGTAATTGTTTGGTATATCTTCAGACTGCGGGCATGCCAAAGTCCGAATAGACTAGTCTGTAGGGGCCGCATACTAAAGAGCCATAAACACTATCTTTTATGACATGAACAGTAAGATTGTGAAGGTATATATTGATGAAATCATAGACTTAAAATATAGAGAAACAATATCTCATCCAGTATTAACACTAACTACTAATTCAGTGGAAGAAGTGACTTAAATCAGATGATAGATCAAAATAATATTTTTCTCTTTTAGATACATTTGCTCCAAATTAAAACCTACTGTGAAAGGAGATTGATATTTCTCAGGGGAGACAGACAAGTCTCATTTACTAATAATGGGACGACTTTTTCCAACCTTCTTTTTCAATCAGGCTTCGTTTCTTTATTGTTTTTGATCAAGACATCCCTCAGCACTTTAATCCTCGAAGACCTATTCATACCTAGACTGACTTTTCGAACTTGAATTTCGCCGAAAATTACTCCACAATGGTCCACAAAGGTGAAGGGAGTTGTTCATGACCATAGGTGGGAAAGGAAGACGGAGGCAAACTTGGTTTGGCTAGTGTACGATCCACAACGACTTCCTGGGAAAAGCGATGGCATAACTAGAAGGCGGGTTAGACCAACTCTGCGTAATGGAAAAAGAGTACTTTGACTGTTAAAAATTATATATTTTTTATAAGCAATCATAATATTTTATGACCAATCGCAAGTTATAACTTAGACCCTAAAAATCGTATAAAGTTATATCTCCTTCAATACCATAAGACGTTCTTAACTGGAAATATTAAATTATTGATATTACTTATACAAGTATCTTTGCAAAAATACATTTTTTTTTCAAAATTAAAATTGATAAATCTTTTGTATCTTAAATAAATGACAAAGACAAATAATATTTATCTGAAAAATACAAAAGGCTTCATTTGAAGTTATCATTTCATGCCTTAAACTAGTTGAAGCCAAGCCGGCCGGCCGGCCCTGATACGTGGGAAAAGAACTGAAACTGCAAGAGCTAATTCAAAGAAGAGAGTTTGAATTTGATGTTAATCATGTGGACATAGATAGACTGCATACATATGCTTGTTCTTCTTGTCAGTTACTGCTATGACCGAAAGTTGACTCACTCAAAGAAATTCCTATTGTGAAACTGTTAAACATGTCTGGCATTATTTAATCCTTATCAATAATAGACCAAATACTAGTGTACAATGCACGGGATTCATAATCCTCCTTTTTCCTTCCAGTGGTTCACACAAACAGAAAGAAATGAGGAAGAAGTTCCATAGATGTGCAGGCATGTGATGTGAGTATAACCTGCAATGATTTGCCTACTCTCTGAGAAAAATGTTGGCTATAGGCTAAATGATCTATTTCATTTGAATATGATAATTTTCATTCAGCTTCTATAGAAATCAATATTCCCACAATCCACAGGAGAAGGAACGAATTTTATGAGTTCAATTTGTACTATGTCTGCACATGCAGGAAAGAAATATGGGAGAATTATACTAAGATCCCTTAAAATTTGTCACTTAATCACTCAGACCCCGTGACATTTAAAATATAACACACAGACTCTTTGAAGTTTGTACGCGCGTAACATTTAGACTCCTGATGTAAATATATTTATTAATAAATTATACTTAAACCCCTCTGAAGTTTGTAGGTATATAATATTTAGACTCTTAAATTTAAAATATTATACTTAGACCAAAAATATTTCATGACAAAAAAAAAAATCAAAAATACTTCAATCAAAGATAAAATATCAAATATTTTAAATTTTACAATTAAAATTCATGTTCTATTGTGTATTGAAATAAAATCAAAAATAAAAATTTAATTTTTTCATAAAAAATCGTAATTAGTATACAATTTTTTTGTAATTTCCGAAGGACTGGACTTTAATTGCAAATTATTTACTTATATTAGTAAAGATAAGGCGGTGGTCAGGGAAGTTGGATTCCGTTTGCTCTCTACCACTGGACAATTAAAATGCATACCATTTCAAAATTAGACAGAGCCTTCATCTGAGGCTTTGAGCACTAATTCACTTGTAAAGTTTTTTTGGGGGTAGCACTTGCAAAATCTATCTGGAAAATCCATAAGTTAGCTTTTTACCACCCTTATTCGAACTTAAGAAGAAGACAAAACTTTTTTTTTGACAAAAAAGAATCCTTTTCTTCTTCTTTTTCACTTTAAGAATTAAAGGATTAGACACAAATTTTATCTACAATTTATTTGGTCAAAAGGAAAACCCAGCAGCATGATTATGGAAACGAGCAATGTTATTGGGACATAATTTGAAGAATTAATGATTGTGACAATTAGATTATCAGTGGGTCCCAACATTAAATTATCGACGGATCCCAACACTATCAATCTAATCTAATGGTTATAATGTATTAAGTCCTCCCAATAGTATTAGTGTTATGGAAACATACATCAACTTTCCCTGGTCACTCAGTGAGAGGACTATCCAGCTTGTGAACTGGGTGTTTGAGCTCACAGTTGACAATTTCTAATATTTCATCAACAGAGTTGTATATTTGATTCTTGGTGTGTGTATTATTTAATAATATTCATAGCTTTAGGTCCACAACAACAGTTATTTTCTGAGGTGTCTGTTTAGATGGTCCCATAAGGCATAAACAATTATCCAAAAAACGATGGTCCCATAAGCAAAGAACTTTCATAGAACAGAAATGGTTTGTTTGTCAATTTTACAAGTTCTTCACCAGTCCACTTAAGAGAATCAAACAATGTACCTGAAAACTAATTTTTATGCAAGGAAAAACTAAAAATGGATTGAAAACTGTTATTCCAAGTCACCCACCGGTATCTTATGCTAATCAGACCAGTTTTAGATTTTTATCTCGACCATATCCATCCCTGCCCTGACACACAATGTACAGAATTACTAATCAAGACTCTGAATGGAATGATCATCTGACAGGAGCCTAAATAATAAAATAACCCTACATTGTTTATATCGGAACTATTCCCAAAGTAGGGAATTTAAAGAGCCATATGTCAACCTTGAAGGCGCTTTTCAATGATGCTAGAGATACATGACATGTATTTGTAACCGTAACAAAATGAACGCAACAAAACAACAACAATTACAAAAATAGAAATCCCAATCCAGGGGGAAAAGGAGAGTAAATCACTATAAAACAAGTGTACCGAATTCATGAAACATACCAACAAACTCAAAATCATACACCCATAAGATTATGCAAGAAACAAAGACAGTTAAAATAAAATTAGCCAATGCAATTGAAACCGCTAAACTCTATCTAATCCATTTGGCATTTAGAACTGGAAATTCAATGGAGTGGAAAATTTTTACTCAATGCAAAGCAAAGAAAATCTGAGAGAGAAAAGAGATTGGACCTTGAAAGCATATCTAGAGAGAGAGGGGCCTGGCAATCATATTACAAACCCAGCTACCGACCGTTTCTACATCTGTCAGTGGCAGGAAGGGATGTATTGTGTGTGGTTACCGCCATTTGCGGAAACCAACCATCATCCATTCATAACATTACACAATATTACAAAAATTAACCATGTGGCTTTTTTTAGTAATTAAAAGCTCCTTTCATTCATTTTATTAAACTCCGTTCATTAGTTACCTGAATGTATAGCAGTTCACCTCTCCCCTGATCTTCATCATATGGCTCGACGTTCAACTCAAACACCCCTGATAAAACTATAAAGAAATCAATATGAAAACATCTTTATGAATCACAGATTGCACTAACTAAACCTCAAAGAGACATGAAAGAGATTTAACAATAAGAATAAAATGTAGGACAAAGAAACAAGCCTTGTTTCAGAAGTTCCACAGCAGCATTGGTGTTTGGAATTTGGACGATGAGCTGACGAAACAAGAGGTTGGGACAAATAAATTAACGAATATATTCAGTCAGAAATATAAATATAAGTATATGGAGGTCATCAAACTTTTAAAATCAGGAATATCGACTACGTTATGAGTACTCCCCTGAAATAGCCCAATCAGAGGATTGGTTGACGAACCAAAAACATCGAGCTTCCACCCCCACTGTAAAGGCTTAACATGTAATCAAAACCCTAATATTCGAATTAATTATGAATGCCAGAAGAGTAGCACAATCAAGTATACCAGCTACAAGTATCAAAGGTGAAATCAGAGACACCAAGTGCGTGGGGTGGTGGGGTGCGTACGGTTGGAAGTGAGGGCAATTGAGGGCGCAACTTTAGGGGGATAGAGAGGTTGGGTTTGGATTTGATGGGAGAGAAAGTTGTGGCGGTGGTGGTGATGGTTGTGGGGGTGGAGGATGGAGTGGCAGGTGATCAGAGAGACGGAGGATGATGGCGGAGCTCAGAGGAGGGGCAGGACAAGTGTTTTCTTTCGTTTGGCTGGTCACTCGTGGTGGCGGGAACATATGGACAAGAGGGAGAAAACTAGGGTCGTTTAGAAACTGCAACAATATTTTAGACATAATTGTAAAAAAATATATAAAACAAAATATTTCGAAATCAAGTATACAGTTGAGATACAAAGACGTAAATACTTATTTTATAAAATTTTCTTTTCTAAAAACTTTAACAAGATATTTATTAAACGCTGAAATTTATGGTCATTTAATTTAAAATTTCTTATTTTTAATGTACCTTGATTCATGTGTATTTTTTTTTAGAAAATGATTTTATTTTCA